CTTTGTCCCTCCTCTGCTCACACTCTGCCTCTCTCTCAAAAATAAATAAACATTAAAAATTTTTTAAAAATATCAATCATGGTTATTGGTAGTTTGTGGGATTCTATTCTTTTATGAAATATTTATTTTCTAAACTCTTTGAGTCTGAATTATTCTTTTAAAATTTTTTTTAAATGTTTTTTATTTATTTCTGAGAGAGAGAGAGAGAGAGACAGCGTGAACAGGGGAGGGTCAGAGAGAGAAGGAGACAGAATCCGAAACAGGCTCCAGGCTCTGAGCTGTCAGCACAGACCCCGACGCGGGGCTCAAAGCCACAAACTGTGAGATCATGACCTGAGCTGAAGTCGGACGCTTAACTGACTGAGCCACCCAGGCGCCCCTGAGTCTGACTTATTCTTATAAGCAGAAATAAACACAAAATAAAAATTTATTACAAACAAATCCCTCAAAGCTTGATCTCCGAGTCTCTCTCCCCATCCTGGAGACCATTGCTTCCTTCTGTAAGAAGCATGGCTCTTGCACATGATTTCAGGGGTGGACTCTTCTTTGTTCATTCTAAGTCGCAAAGAGAGATGTTGCTCCAAAGGAAGGCACTCTTGTCACGCCCAGTAACTTGACAGATTTTAGACTCAGTTTCTTATCTGTAAAATGGGAGAATGGCTACTGTCCTTTCTTACAGCACAAAGAGATTATAAAGACTGAAGGAAGTAAGAAGGAGAGAGTACTTGAACCGTTTAGAACAAAACACAATGGTGATTTAAGAAGTGGTAGGTTGCCAAGGGTAGGTACAGCTCAGAAGACCTGACATAAAGGCATGGTAACAATACCAACCCTGTTAACCGCCTTTACCACAACGCTTTGTATGTTTGTAGGACTGGAAAATGGGTAATTAATATTATTGTGGCTGCAGGATTTTAAAGTAGGGCTCTCTACTTTGGAATTTTCACACCAAATTTCTGTTTTAATAGGCCCCCTTTTCATTCACCAAATACTATCAAGTACCAGAAGTGGTCACCAGAGGGCGCCAGATCACTTACGGTCTCCTCCTGGCTTCCGCATAGCAAAATCACCATGATTTAATATGCCGGGTATTGGAACTGGGTCCAGGCAGGAAAAAAAATGAAATCTAGTATACATTAACTATGATGTTGGGCCAGCACTTAAGTAAATAAGCTTCTTTTTTCCTCCTTGGCTGTTACTTTCGTCGTCCTGTTTTTTTCCTTTGTATGCTAATATACTTTTCTTTCTTTCTTTTAAATCACTTGAGATAGTTCAGATTAGAATACTTAAGAAACTTGAAACTCTGGTTTGCTTTGAAAGCTGAGATAGGCACATGTTCACACGGTAAAGGGGCTGCCCTCCCCCCTGAGAAGTTTATAAATGTATTTAGAAATAAATAAATGGCCTGCATTGTTTTTAGGACAGAGGGGGTTGGCGTTTCTATTTGTGGTTAGGCTTTCAGTTCTTGTGCAAGGGACCTCAATTCCCAGCCTGCAGACAGGCCTATAAGAGAGGACGTGCACTGAGGCTATTCGGAAATGCTTCTCTATACTCTGCCCTGGAGTGGAGCCGGGACTGACTGTGGGGCCCTCCGGGCCGTAGTGTAACGGCTGCAGAGAGGGGCCGCTTTGCCTCAGTTCTCATCCCAGCTGAAGGGACTTGTGAGGTGCAGAGCAGCAAAGCGGGGGCAGGGAGAGAGAGTCCTGTCTGGACTCCTCTCCCCCGTGGCCTGGTGCACGCGCACACACACACGAGTACTGGTTTGGGGTCAGAACATCTGGTCAGGGTTCGGCTGTCTGTGTTTTGGGTCACAGTAGTCATAGCCAAGATCTAGGTAACGTTTTCTTTTTCACCTTTATCAATAACCAATGTTATTTGTGGGTAGGTGGGCAGAGCAGTTCCTGTTTTTATTCCAGGTTTACGAACAAGGAAGCACACTGAATGCAAAAGGCACCCAAGGTTTCTTTGAAGTTTGAGGTTCCGTTCTATCTGGGTATAACTTTTTCCTCAATTAGTGAGGCCAGGGGCAGCTTTTCCGAACCTGGTGCTGAAGTTGGTGGATGATAAGGAAGTAGCAGGAGAGGTGGGCGGGTGGGCCTGGTGGATGGTGACACTCTCTCATTCACTGCCTACCGGTCAGGCCATCCCAGGACAGTATTAACTTCAATAGCAGCGGGGGACCCTGATGAATCCCAACTCAGCCTAGGTTTTGTATGACACAGAAGTTGCTAAAAGCTTCATCCAGCACAGGCAGAGGTGTGCAGAGAGCAGGAGACAGGGCCTCCAGCACCCTGTGGAAGGACGATGGGGTGATGAAGGTGACGGTGGAGGAGATACACTGGTGGGGATCCTGCAGTGAGGGTGACCCAAGTCACAGCAATCAGTCGCCTCTTGCTAGTGTCCCCAGACTGGTGTTGGAGGGGAACTCAGGCTATGGGGGCGATTCAGGAAGGGCTGGAGGGGATTAACAGGTTTGTAGAAGTTCAGCTGAAGGTGAGAGAAAATCCATTCTGGGGGTTTCATATCCCCTTGGGCAAACAGTCCTGTCCTTCTCTGTTCTTTTTATGCTATGGGTAATTTATTTTCAAATTTTATTTTTTTAAAAAATTTTTAAAAATGTTTTTATTTATTTCTAGGAGAGAGAGAGAGAGAGACAGCGTGAGCAGGGGAGGGTCAGAGAGAGAGGGAGTCACAGACTGAAATAGGCTCCAGGCTCTGAGCTGGCTGTCAGCACAGAGCCCGAAGCGGGGCTCAAACCCACGAACTGCGAGATCATGACCTAAGTGAAAGTCGGACGCTTAACCGACTAAGCCACCCAGGCGCCCCTATTTTCAAATTTTAAATCTTGTACTTATTAAGGAAAGTCCTAAGCTTTCCTGGCATATGCTGAGGCCCAAAGGTAGCAAAGTACAGCTGTTTAGAAGGCTAACAAATCAAAGGAATCTCAAGGTCATGGTTTACCTTCTTGCACATCTTCACAGCAATTCTGGGCCCGACCCCTAACCCGGTGCTGGGAAGAACTCAGGGCCTTTGCACGGACTAAGGCAGCACAGATGTTGTGTGTGGCTGCTGAGCATGAAGGAAGAGGCTGTGAGTACTCTCTGGGTGACAGCTTCACTTTTTGGAAAATATCGCCTATAGCTCCCTTTTAACATTGCTTTTTGAGTACCAAATATTCAAGAGCTCTTATCTCATTCTGCTTCCCCCTTTGACGTGGCCCTGACCCTTTTCTAATGAGCGTGTGTCCTGAGCCCAGTGAGCATATTCTGAATGGGTCTGGAGAGCTGCAAACATTCCCTACAGCCTCTCTGCCCAGCTGGGCCTTCCTTCTCAGTTCCTCCCAGCACCCTAGGGCCTCCAAGGGGTGGGGGTGGTGGTGGTACTCTGGCTCAGGCAGAAGCAGCACTCGCCTATACAGTTAAGGACGCTAACTTGGCCCTCACTACAGGAAGGGCTGAAAGGAGACTGATAATTCCAATTAGACTTAAGTTAATGAGCTGGAAACTTTGGGGAAACCAATGAAGGGAGAATGTGACCATCTTCCTTCTAATTAGCACTGGAAAAACTTGTGGTCCAACTGGTAGCCAAGAGCTTCGAGGGGCAGTGTACAGAGGGAGGAAAATTTCCCAGAGCCGTGGAAGAGGCATTCCCCTGTGGTGCAGGGATGGAGAGGCTGCTGAGGAGGGAAGACCCCGAAAGGGGAAAAGTAGGCTTGAATGGCGCCTAGCGTGCCCCTTCTCCCTGTTGCCCTCCTCACACGGTGAGGCTTGGGGGTAGATAAGAGGGGAACCACTTTGGGGAACTCTACTGTGTACTGAAGCCTGCACCATCTCTGAGGCCAGGTGCCCCCCGCCCTCCTTCCCCCTGCTCATCTCTCCACTCTCAGGCAGCCTCTGTCGCTTAATAAGGAAAAGGCAGAAAAGCCACCTGCTGCTGTCAGGGGCCACAGACCACCCGCCAGCCTCCAGCCGTGCGTGGGGCACTGGGGCACCTAGGAAGAGGGGAGGGAAGAAAGAACTAGAGGCCCGAGGTGTGTCGAACTAGGGTGTTCTGGAAAAGGGTCTTCCTCACTCCCAAGGCCCTAGGATCCCGAGGTGTGCGGCCGTGGCGTCGACAGCTGGTCACTCCTTCCCTCCCCACCGGGGGCTCCTTTGGCAAAAACAGCCTGCCACGGGTGCCCCGCCATCCTCCTGGGGCCCCCCGGGTCGCTCGGCTGGGGGCGCAGCACCTTGGAGAGAGGCGCCCTATCCCGCGCCTCGACTTGGGGCGCTCTACCCGGCGCTCTGGGGGTCAGGGGCGCGTGCCCGGCGGCCGCCGAGGGATCGGCCTGCCCCCTGCCCAGCCTCGAGCCGAGGCGAGCCGGCGCTGCGAGCCTCCTCCCCTCCGCCAAGGGCGGCCTGAGCCCGCGCCCGCTCCAGTTGCTGCAGCTGCTGCTGCCGGCGGCTGCGGGGAGCGCGGGGAGCGCGCCGAAAAGGCTCGGGCGGCGAGGACGGGGACGAGGAGGAGCCGGAGGAGGCGAGGAGGCAGAGCGAGCGGAGGCCGAGGCGGCTCCGCGGCGCGGCCACGCGGCTCAGGGATCCTGGGGGCATGGGCTAGCGGCCGCGGCGGCCCGGCAGCGGGACGCCGTGGAGCTTCCGTGGCCCGGCGCGTGCAGGGGCGGCGAGCCGGAGCCGAGCGCAGCCGGGGACCGCGGGCTGGCGCGGGGGTGTCCCGGCGGAGGGGGCTGACTGCTCATTATTAACTAGTTGCCGCCTAATAAGCCAGGAGCGGCGGGGGAGCGGCGCGAGCTGCGCGCGGGGAGGGTCCCGGGCCGGAGCGCAGCGCACTCGCGTGGCGCACGGCGGGCCGGCGCGCAGAGCCGGGGCGGGCCCGGGGGCGGCGCAGACCCCAGTCGCGGGCGGCCCGTGGCGCCCCCTCGCTCTCGGCGCTCGGGGCCGGCGCAGCCCGGGGCGAGCGGGGCGCGGGCCGGGGCGGGGAGCTGCCCGCGCGCTCCATCCCCTCCCCCCCCGGGCGGGCGGCCGGGGGGAGGGCGGGCGGCGGCGGCCCGCCGTATATATCTCGGCGCACCCCGCCAGGTCGCGCACAGCGCCCCGAGCCCAGGCGCCTCCCCGCCCCCTCCCCGCGCTCCGCGGCGGCGGCGGCGGCAGCAGTAGCAGCAATATGGCTGTTGATGGGTGTTCGGGGTGGCGCTGGCGGCGGGAGGAGCTCCCCCGAGCCCCTGCGCCGGCTGCCCGTTGCTAGCTATGGCAAATGGTGGCGGCGGCGGCGGCGGCAGCAGCAGCGGCGGCGGCGGCGGCGGCGGAGGCAGCAGTCTTAGAATGAGTAGCAATATCCACGCGAACCATCTCAGCCTAGACGCGTCCTCCTCCTCCTCCTCTTCCTCCTCCTCTTCTTCCTCCTCCTCCTCTTCCTCCTCGTCCTCGGTCCACGAGCCCAAGATGGATGCGCTCATCATCCCGGTGACCATGGAGGTGCCGTGCGACAGCCGGGGCCAGCGCATGTGGTGGGCTTTCCTGGCCTCCTCCATGGTGACTTTCTTCGGGGGCCTCTTCATCATCTTGCTCTGGCGGACGCTCAAGTACCTGTGGACCGTTTGCTGCCACTGCGGGGGCAAGACGAAGGTAACGCGTGCCCCGGGCGCCCGCCCCCTGCGCCAGCCCACCTCCTCGCTCCTCGCCGCGCCGTGCCGCCCTCCATCCCTGCCTGCCTTCCCCGCGCCGCCCGCCCTGCCCTCCGCTCTCCCCGCGCCCCGCTCGGCGCGCCGGGGCTCGGAGTTGCCCCCGGCCGGTGCGCTCCGGGAAGCGGACGCCCGGTGCCGCGTCCCCTTGTTTACGGTGGGGTCGCCGGCGGCCGCGGTTGGGGCCGGGCGGGGGGACGCGCGCCTCTCGGTTGCCGGGGTGCGGGGTGGGGAGAGCCGAGCCCGCGGGCCCCGAGGCCGCCCGCGGGGGGCCGCCGGGTGCGTGTGCCGCACGCCTGGCCAGCGGCGGCCCGGCTGGGGGCGGGGGGTTGGGCAGACTCTAGAAACCTGTTGGGGAGAGGAGTTCGCGGGAGTCAGAAGGAAGGGGGAAGCCTTGGGACAGGGGAGAACATCTTTCGGACCAGGGAATCCCAGGGGAGGAACCTGGCCAAAGGGAGTGGGGGATCTCGGGGACAGCGAGGGAAAGTTGGGGAGATGCATCCCAGTTTCGGAGGCAGCCCACGGGGGCTGCCACTTTAGGAGTGTGGCAAGGGCGCACGTCTGATGTCACCTTCCTCTCCATCAGTGGAGATTCTCTGGGAACATACCCTCACCCCAAATTCCTCAGCCTCTGTATTCTCGCCCCCCACGCCACCCCCTTTAGGTGCCCGGAAATGCCGCCAGCAGCGGGGGGCTGGAGGTCCCCCCCCCCCCCCCCCCCCCCCCCCCCGAGAGCCTCCGAGGCCGCGGCTTCGCCCGGAGCCTCCTCGCCAGCGCTTTTGAGGTGGCTGGATGTCGGCTTAAGCTATTCCTGGCGCAGAGACGCCCACCAGCACCGAAGCTCACTACACCTTAAGTATGGTTGCTAGGCTGACTGCCTGGCCTTCGCCGTGTCCCTAGAGATGCCCTCTTCCCTCCTCCTCCCCTCCGTCCTCCCCGCCAATGGCTGAAGGTGAGGGGCTGGGGCAGCTTTTCATAGAAAACTGCATAATAAGAGAGAGAGAGAACTGGAAAAAAGAGGGACCGAGCTGCTTTGTGTTTGAGTAAGTCCCACCCTAGGGGACTTGACAGCACCAACATTTTCAGACGGAGGGGAGATCAAGGGGAATTGGCGAATATCGCAAGGTGGAGGCAGATCTTGGTCAGGATGTTCACACCTTTTTTCTTTCAAAGTGAATCCCAGGACCCCTCAAACTTCCATAGGGCTCGGCAACTTGTAGCAGTCTCCTTAGTTGCTATGGGGAATTGGGAAGCCAGGGGCTGTGGGTGAAACGCGAGGGTGAACCCAGGCTCTCTCTCCTGATCATTAATTATACACCGCGCTGGGTGCTGGAGCTGAGCTGAGTCTTGTGGTAGAACATTTGTGTTTTGGAAAGTACTGGTGTGTCGGAAATAAAAATAAAAGCCATCTCTCTCTTTTCTCTTCCCACTTCTCGGGAGGCTTCCAGATGTTGGCCAGCCAGCTTTCTTTGGAGTTACCTCCTCTGCCATGGGGGGTTCTCCTTCCTTTTCCAGGTGGGAAATCTCCCACATTCCCGAGAAGCAAACAGGTTAAGCAAAATCTGAACCATGAGACCCGCCCTGACATGGTGCTTCTTCTGTAGCCTTTCTCTTTCCCATTTCTTTCTCTTTTTTTAATATTTATTTTTGGGAGAGTGCAAGTGGGGGAGGGGGAGAACGTGGGGGACAGAGGATCTATAGCGGGCTCTGAGCTCACAGCGGCCAGCCGGGTGTGGGGTTTGAACTCAGACCAGGAGATCGTGACCTGAGCTGAAGTCGGTCGGAGGAGCAACTGAGCTGCCCAAGTGCCCCTTATCTGTTTCTTAAGCTTCTTGATCACACATCCCCTCATCTCCTCCTTCTCTCACAGTCTTCTGTCTTGGAGGGTTTTTCCGTTTCTTTGTTGTTTTCCTTTATCGAGAGTCAGTGTCTGTGCGTAAAATGTTTTCTAGACTATGTGGTTTTGGTGAAGTTTTGAACAGCTTCCTCATCCTTAAGAAAGTGGGCCTTCTTGATCAGAGTGAAAAGTTTTTCAGTGAGTCAAAATAAGTTTTAGTGTTTTTGTGATCCTGGGATTTTAAGCGCGGCTGCCGAGTCCTTTTATGCTAGGGGTTCACGGATGCCACTGTGGTACCTGTGATGAAACGCTAATTGGATGGCTCACATAAAGAATGTCTTTCATAAATGATGACCAAGCGTAACTTCTGTCGGTTGTTAAAAAAAAGACCGTTTTTGGCAACGTTCACAAGGCAAAACAATCCCTATGTGTATTAGGCTCTGTTTTGTAGCTCTAAGACCTGCTGAATTGACGTCACTGGGAGTTTCTACAAAAAAATCAACCTGGGGTGAGAGAGGCTTGCAGTTGGGTGGGAGGACGTGAGGCTAACAGAGGATGGAGTCAGGTCACTTTTGATCCTATCAGAGTCCACTGTAAAACATTCCCGGAGTTACTTACTAACTGCCCCTTGATTTGCTCACAAACCATGTGTAGCTGGCTCATTACACCCATCAATAGTAACTTAGGCCTCTTCTAAGCCTTACTTTCTACCCCTGAGGTCTGTATTTTTACTGCCATTATGGCTTCTTGTCTTTCATTCTTTTTTGCTTTCCAAGTATTTGGTAGTTATCGAGATGCTGTACATAAGAATGCATTTGGCCTAAGTTTGGAATGATTAGTTTAGCGCGGGGCTTCCCGAGCAAACGTAGACTGCTTTTGCATCGAATTCTGTCGGCCCTCAAATGTGCCCACCCTCACCCTCATTCAGTCCCAGCAGAGTTTGACCAGGAGCTGGGGTCCCGTGGAGGCTTGGTTTTTTAGCCTCTGAAATTCCACGGGAGGCAAATTTCAGCAGGGCACTGTGACATCACAAGTATTTGGCCCCTGGGATGGCACCGTCCTTTTTGATCAAAGGAACGTGAGACTATAGATGTGTCTCCCAGGGCATCTCATGATTTGTACGTTTGGCCTCTGAATCATACATGGTGAGTGACTTTACTATTTTGAAAAGAATGGCGTGTGGATTTTTTAATCTTTTTTTAGGAAATGAGAGAACTAATCACGTTGCCCCCTGTTGGGAACTTGGGCACAATCATCCGGTACTGTGTTCTTTGCTATACTTTTTCACATCATTGTTTTTTTCTCTGTTGGGTTTCATCAGAGCTCTGTGTTCACTAGGCTGTGATGTTTTGAGGTCCAATCCCGTTGCATACTGTAGTGAACAGCGAGCAGCTCAGGCAGCCTGGATAAGGCCATGACCTTGAAGAAGTCATTTAACATCTCTGGTCTCTTCTTCCGTGTGTTTAAAATGTGGAGATTGAATTCTGTGACTTCTGATGCCCTTTCCTGCCCCGTGACTCGGTGTCAGAGGTTGGAAGGAGTTGAGAAACTATGGGTAAAGTTTCTAGCTCAGAATGTGTTTTGTAATTTTCTGGCAAGTTCTTTAGGAATTCAGCCTTGGAGTGCCTCTGTGTGTTTCCTCTTCCAGTACACAGGCTGCTTCTCTTCAGATTAGTCTGGGGATACCGAGGCCAGCTTTCGATGGAGCTGTGGCTTGCTGGGGGACCTGGATGTGGCCAGGCAGGGGCTCTCACCTGCTCTCAGTTTGAACTCTTATCCCTGTAGAAGTCGGGCTTGATCGAGCCTGGTCTGCATGTAATGAATTATTGAGGTATTGTCTCCATGGCTGTGTCTGAGAAAACAACATGTTGTCTCTGTCAGGTTCGTGACTGATATAAACATCAGATCCCGTTATGGCTTGGTAATTACCCAGGGTCTGGCCCGATGCATCCAATCAGGCACTGAGCTTCAGGGCCTCAGAATTCTTGATTCCGTATCAGACCTGCTGCCTCGTGTCATCTTGGGGATTGCCTGCATTGGACGACCTTCAGGTAATTCTCTTTGATCAGGTCACTTAGGTTGGCCTTGGAGAAGCTCTCAGGTCCCAGTCACGGGGGAGTTATAGCTGACCTTCCCTCGTGTAGAGAGATTTTGCAGCTCGTTCCTGGCTGTCTTTGTGGAAATGCACACTTCAGTAGAGATTCGGCAGTCAGACCCAAGTGCGAATCCTGGATCTTATTAGCAGGCGTCTTTGGCTGGTAGCCATATCGCGCCTTGGGTTCTTTGTCTATAAAAAGAGCATAACGATGCTTACTTTGTAGGATGCTGCTGAGGACTAGCAATAATGGGTATACAGGACCCAGCAAATGCCTGGCACTAAGCTGGCTTCCTGTAAATAGCTCCACAAAGTGGTGAGTTTGTTTTCTCTTTGATTCCTTAAGTGTTTGGCCCCAGAGGCGCACAGACTACAACAAATAGAACTTGTGAGCCCGAAGGAACCTCTAGACTCTGAAGTCTACTGTCCTTGGGTCAGACGACCGGCTAGGGTCACACTGAGATTTGGGCTCTTGGCTCTTGCCTGTGGTTAGACTGGAAGATTGGGGAGGGCAGCCATGGAAGGGTCCGCGGGTGAGGACCTGGGAGGACACCTGCTGTGTAGACGGTGGGGATGTCCGTGGACAGGCGTTGACGTGGGGTTCCGGGAATGATAGACTGAGAGGGTGTGAAGTGTTTGGTAGGAGGGCAGGGCTGGCCGTTGAGAAGGGAGGACTTCCGTCCCTGTTACCCCAGTCCAGAGCTCTTATACCTGATCCCCTGACAATGCCACCTTGTCCTTGCACTTATCTTGTGGAAAACCTGAGTCGTTGCGTACCTGAGCGCCCCCTTGGAGAATTGCATCCCAGGCGGGAAGAAGTCCTCTAGTAGAGAAACTGGTCAAACTGCTCTTAACTGGCCTCACTTCTAGCAGCCTTGTGGAGCTGCCAAGACTGCTGTGTAGTACTGGAGTCTGCCTGTGACCTTGACAAGGACTTGACTGCTCTGTGCCTCAGTTTCCTCATCTGCAAATTGGGGATTGTAATAGAGCACAGCCCTGTGGAGTAAGTGCT